AAGCAAAGGAGCGACAGCTGAAAGAAAAAAGAGAGCAGCAATTGAAGTTGGAGCTGGAGAGAGAAAAGTTGGCAGCCGAAAGGGCGAGAGAAGAAAGAGAGCAGCAATTGAAGTTGGAGCTGGAGAGAGAAAGACTGGCAGCTGAGAGGGCGAAAGAAGAAAGAGAGGAAAGGGAACGGCAGCGACAGCACGAGATAGAACTCGAGCGACTCCGTTTGCAACAGCGAAGTGAAACTCCCGACCAACATAGAGTTGAAAGCAGCGAACGGGAAGATCATGGCTTCCGCTTGAACCCAAGCAAGCTGCTCGTGGCGTTTGATGAAAGGAAGGACGACCTTGACGCGTACCTTCACCGATTTGAGACGATTGCGAAGAGCCAGAATTGGCCGGAACATCAATGGGCAACTGCTTTGAGTACTTGCTTGAGTGGTGAAGCACTCAGTGTGTACGGTCGGCTGACGCCGACCGATGCAGCCAACTATGCAAAGGTGAAAGCTGCTTTGCTGAAGCGATTTAGATTTACTGTAGAAGGTTTCCGGGACAGATTTCGGACAGGAAAGCCAGCTGATGGTGAGACGGCTACGCAGTATGCCGCCCGACTTTGCCATTATTTCTACAGATGGATTGAACTTTCAGGGACAGCGCAGGAGTACGATGAACTTAGAGAGCTCCTAATTAGAGAACAATTTCTTACTAGTTGCCACCCAAGCCTGTCGCTGTACTTGAAAGAGAGAAAGGCTGAGTCACTTGAAGGAATGCTTGAATTGGCTGATCAATTCTTGAAAGCGCAAGGTGGAACTAATTTGGCCAAGGTCAAGAAGGAGTGTCCCGATGATTCGAAGAAATTGGCTCCCGAAGAAAAGAAGCGTGCACCAGAGAGCGTTCCGCGATGTTTTCTGTGCAGCCGAGTGGGTCATCGCGCGAAAAACTGTCGAACGATCTTTACGAGCCCTACGGCAGTAAAATGTTTCAAGTGTGGTCAGGCTGGGCACAAAGCAGACGCATGTCGAAACGGAGCGAGTCAAACTCACCAGGTATCCTGTGTGCGAGCGGCACCGAAATCCGGTAATAATGCTGTCACAGATGGATTTGTAGAGTTGAAAAATGGGGAGAAAATTCCTATTGTGGGTCCTGTAATGTCAAAACAGCCAACCGGTGTTACGAAGGCAATGCCAACGCTGCCTGGAAAAGTTGCGGACAAAAAGGTTACAGTGTTAAGGGATACCGGTAGCTCCACGGTTATCGTGCGGAGTAGTTTGGTACGGGAAAGTGAGTTGACGGGCAGAACGAAACCGGTTTGCCTAATTGACCGTACGGTTCGGATGCTTCCCGAAGCAGAGATTGAGGTGGAAACCCCGTACTTCAGCGGGAAGGTTACGGCTCTATGCATGACGACCCCCTTGTACGACCTCATCATCGGAAACATCGACGGGGCGCGAGGACCGAATGATCCGGAATGTTTGGGAGAAGACCCCAAGATAGAGCACTCGCCAACCCAGCAACCGCGAGATACAGTGGAGGAGCATCCCGTGACGGACCTCACTAGAGCCCAAGGTGAAGCCCCGGTGCAAGAGACAGCGAATGAGAAGATGATCGAGTTGAATGAGTTCACGGGGTGCGCAGCTGGACGTACGTCGGCACGACCCCAACCGACCGAGAGTGTAAAAATGACGGAGTTGGCCAGCCAAGCCCAATGCCGTGACATGAACAACCTGGTAAATAAACAGACAGGACCCGTTGAACGTTGTGACCCGTTAACGGTGTCGGAAGCGACAACGATGGCTGAGACGCCGCCACAGATATCGTCGTTGGAAAGGGCTCGCCGAAAAAGAACGTGGAAACACAAGAAGAGATCGAGCGAGCACCGCAAGAAAGGGCGCAAGCGCCGCTCGGAATGCACCGGATAGGTGTCGAGGTCGAATCAGAATGTGTTTGGCAGTGCTGAGTGCCATATGTTGTGTTAATGTTGTGTTATTCTGTGTCACAAGTGTCGAAGTGTGTGCTGTGATGTGATGTATAGTGTTGTATAATTGTTGTAAAGACAGAACTTTGTACGTTTGTATTGTTTGGAATGTGTGATGAAGCGTTGTACTCATGTACCTGCGGTTATATTTCATGTGTGTGAGATTGAATTGTAACGTCCAATTGTATTGAGTGATATATTGTGAATGTGACGTGTCATGAGCGACGGACTATGTTACAGTCTTTGAGCGTGTGTGGGGACTGTTCGCGCTCGTTTGTGTGGTTTTTGAGTATTATGAGATAATATTCTTAAAGTGGGGGGCAGTGTCACAGAACGAGCGCTAAAAATGGGCGCGCTGCCAAATTCTTGCGATAAGGCGCGGGGGAGACGCCGGGAGGTCAAAAGAAAAAAAAAAGAAAACAAACATCCAAGGCTCCCTGGGCGCGCGCTCTCCCCTCGGAAGCGTGGCTTCGCCGATGAACCTCCTCACCCCACAGCGGCGGCCGGGCAAGCACTGGAAAGTTCCAGAAGGAAATAGGCGTGGTCATACCGAGTTGAGTCATCGGTCGGGGACGGCCCTCGTACAGTCTCGCGCCTCTCCCCAGCCTTCGCTGCGTATCGCGCCGACGAAATGACGAGAACCTTCTGGAATGTCGTGCGGAAGGTATTTAATCGAGCAGCGGAGATGAGAGATCAGGAGAGGACGGAAGTTAGCGCCAAAGCGCGTAGGGATTCCGCCGTGTAGTCGGCGAAGGTTTTGTCCGTAGAGACAAAGCGGGAGAAGAAGACGATTTCCACCTGAGGGGTGACGACTCGAGCTACAGGCAAGAGTGTGTGTTTACCGCTATCGAGCGAAGACGCGTGGCGACAGCTGCGTGTGTGAAGCCGACGTGTTCGGGCGAAGAAGTTTGAAGCTTGGAGAGTGGCCAATTGAAGACGCAAGGTTTCCTGGAAGAGAACTTCGAGGGCGCGGAACGACAACAACGCTGGACTTTGAGTGAGTGATTCTCGGAAGAGTATCATCCAGACTTTTGTTCCAAGAACTTTGGACTGGAGAGGTTTTCTATCTCTTTAGTCTTTAAGTGTCTTGGTTGTTCAATGCATGCGACTGCATTGTAGTGCGTATCGTTGTCTGTGTCCGTTGTTTTGAGTGTGGCTGATTGTACAGTGTAGTACGTTGTTTGATTGGTGATGCATTGTACTCAACTATTGTGGAGTGTGCATTCTTGTGTATTGTTTTCGATCTGCCGTTTTTGAGAATATAATATTTTGTTTTGTTTATCAACTCTCGGCTCTGACTTGTTCTTTGGGCCACAGCCGGCGTCCGCTGGCGCGCCAAAAAGGACCACTTCTAAATTGTCCACGCTTTCGTGGTGCGGTTCGGGGGGCCAATACTTCGGCTCTTGGAATTAGCCCGGCGATCGCCTCCCTAATTAACGGGACTGTGTGACATATGGCATAACATGACTGTATGAAGAACGTATTCAACTAGCTATGACATGAAAGTCATGACATTTATGTCATGAATGTCATGACTTGCTTTTCATGGTTCTGCAGCTCTTGCGGTGCTTTCGTTCACATGGCATGCTGCGAAACTGGTATGGTATGACATGATTGCATGGCGAACACAAGCAACAGACCCTAACATGAAAATCATGACATGCGTGTCATGTAGCAACATGACTACATGTCGAGCTCATGATGCGCTCGCGGCCGTTTTACTAGCGTCACATATACCAAATTCGGTATTACGGGGCGTGAATAGAGAGTTTTAGTGCTGCGTACGCTGCGTACGGGGCGGCGTTGCGTACGTAAGGACGCCACCTTCTGCGTAGTGCGCATGCGCAGACCGCAACGCGCACGTATCGCGTTACGTACGCAGCCGCTACGCACGCACGCATGAGATGCGTGCGTGCGTACGTATGAGGTGATCGCGCCGCTCTCGAACAAGTTCGCGACAGCGAGAGACTTCATTTTGCAAATTGGCGGCATCAAAGGCAAGCACCGACCGGCTCTGTGGCTTAAAATATGGTCATAATCTGGCTATAACACTTGTATTGGCTCACATTGGCTGTCAACAACACGTGCTTCTATTTTGATCTACCAGATGGCGCAACACGCTTCACGCTCGTTACGTACGCGGGTACTACGGCGTACTAAAAGCAGATTAGTGGCAAACGACGCCACGTAACGCAAGGTACTTGCGTGATGCGTACGTAGCACCATTCCGCAGTACTAAAACTCTCTAATGATTGACGAAGGTATGTGACTGGTGCAAACATTATAGTCATTAAATGCGTGTCATGTCACAACATGACTACATGCCACACTCATGATGCGCTGCCAGCCGTTTCGCTAGCTTCAATTGTACCAAATTTGGTATTACGGGACGTGAATGGATGACGAAGGTATGATACTGGTGCAAACATTATAAATATGAAATGCGTGCCATGTAAACACATGACTACCTGCTACGCTCATGATGCGCTCGCGGTCGCTTCGCTTGCTTCACATGTATCGAACTCGGTATTACGTGACGCGAACGGACGACAAAGGTAAATGACAGATCCAAACATAATAATCACGACATGCTTGTCATGTCACAACATGACTAAATGCCTCACTCATGATGCGCTCGCGGCCGTTTAACTAGCTTCATATAGGCCGAATTCGGTATTACGTGATGTCAATGGATGACGAAAGTAAGTGACTGGTGCAAATATAATAAATATGAGATGCGTGTCATGAGAGAACAAATGGCTTTTATTATAGTTGCATGGTGCCGTAAATAAAATGAGTCTGACTATTGACATTGCTTAGTCCAGGTACACAAGTGACGTTAGCGCGACACGGCCAAGGAAGGAGTGGCGCGTGACAAGCAACATATGCAGTATACTTACAATACTGCATGTGGGGAGGTCATGCACAGTCAGTTAAAACTTTAATGGACATCCAATGGCATGTACCGATGGACATGATATATTGCGCGAGACGCGGCGATCACTTCACTTACGCAGAGTTTAATAAATAGGCGCCGTTAGGGGTGCGAACAGATGCGACGAAGCACGCGATCGTTCGCCGAGTCCCAAGCGCCGAGGGCACCCACGATGACGGCGTCGACGGTGACCCGTTGATACCGACGACCGAGAAACGCCGCCACCGGCTCGTAATGAGCCAGCTTGGCGTTGCGGGCGTTCTCGAAGGCGTCCGGCGTGTTCTCGAAGAGGCACGTGACGTCGATGACGATTGCCTCTTCGCCACGCACCAGGATGAGATCCGGACGCAGGCCCGTGTCTCCAACGGCCTGGTTCTCGAAGGCTACAATGAACTCGTGGGAGGCAGCGGGCCGGACGCGATCTACGATGGCGTTGTGGCGGGCCTGGTAGAGCGCACTGCGAGGCATGCAGTGGCACACCACATGTGGCAGTGCCTCTCTCGGTTACACGCAGACGCGACACCGCTGGTCTCTGTCCGGCGCGCCCCACATGCGAGCGCCGTTGAGTGGGAGCAGGTCGAGGCGGGCCCTATGCACGAACCGCCAGTCCGCGAAGGTGGTGAAGGCGCCCGTACGCATAAAATGCGAACTGGCGCGGTCAGCTGCAACGCAGGCCAGCACCTTCCCTTGGTTGGGGAGGTCGTGCAGGGCGCGATCCGTTCCGTAGCCAGGATCTCACGCAGCGTCCGCATGACGCGGCACCGGTGTTGCGGAGTAATCGTGGCGTCGCCGCAGGTGGGCCGGACGCCGCCAGGATCCAGGGTCCAGGCGGCGTTGTAGTGGCGAGATGCTTTTCGGGCGTTTGTCCAGATGGACCGCAACTGGGTGGCCGGGACCCGGAACCCGTCTTCAAGCATTCCCCCGAAGTAGGCCTCCAGCTCCGCACGGGTGACCTCCCAGCCGAGACGGGCAGTGACTATCGCGTAGGCGTCGTCCAGGGCCATCTGCCGCAGCTCGGCGTCGGGGGACGTTAAAAGCTTGAAGGCGGAGTCGATGCGGCAGAGTTCGCTGAGCTCCGCCGCAATCAGGATCCCGACGGCACCACCAGGGGCGGAACTGTAAATGTAGTTGGTGGCCGCGTAAGTAGGTAGGTAAAGCGTACGCTTTACCAGCGGCCGAATGGCGTCGTTCAGTCTGCGCCAGTCCGTCGTCGATAGAACTCCGCGCCACATCGGGAAGTTGAGCGCCGGGTAGACAAAGGTCCGGAGGGCATCCAGACGCTGCCACGGCGCCAACATCGACGACATGATCGCCTGGGCTTAGACGACGGCGGATTCGACGGCGGATTCGACGGCGGAACCAGAGCCGGAGGAGATCCGAAAGCCGATGGGCCGTCCCAGGTACCGCTGCGACTCGAAGTCGCGCAGCACCGAGATGGCGACGCCCAAGACTCTGAACTCCGTCGGACGCATCCCCACAGGTGTCGATCCGATCATGTGGAAGGACGCGCACTTTGACGGGTTTAAGGACAGGCCCAGGGACGCGGCGAGGGTCTCGATGCGGTCGATGCGCTGCTGTAGTCGGCGTGGAGTAGAGGCCAGGGGAGTCAGGTCGTCCGCGTAGGCGAGGATCTTGTGGTCGGAATCACCACTCTGCACTGCGCGGATGACCAAGTCTATCACTAAGTTGAACAGGAGTCCACTCTGTAGGAAACCCTGACGCAGCCCTGCCAGGATCAGGATCGCATCGGTTGTCCCCTCGGCCGCGATGATGCACGTCTGGTTCCCCGTGTACAAGTCACCGATGACGTCCGTGAACACGGAGCCGGCGCCCGCACCGCGCAGGGCGTCGAGCAAGGCCTAGTGCTTGATGAAGCCAAAGGCGTTTGTAAGGAAAGGACTTAAAGACGCCGAAGAGCATCAAACCAGAACTGAAGAAGACGAGCGGAGAGCAGGTGGCACGAAGGCGACAACAAGAAATGAAGAAGAGAAGAAGGCATGTGCGATTACGAGGCAACTGTGCGCCAATCAGCTGATGACCAGTGATGGCCCATAGAGGTGGCGTGCCACGATTGGGCCACGGGCGACCATCACGTGGCAGTGGGCTTTGTGGCTGGGGACGAGCCGAAGCAGCGGCAGACGGGAGACAGCGGGCCGAAGCGTCGGACGCAGGCGATCCAGGTTCCGGCCAGGGAACGCGGCCTTCCACGCTGCTGCCGTCCAACCACCAGCAGGGGCGGCATTGCCGGCACGAGTACTGCATCTCGGGGCGCGGCCTGGCCTGCTGTTCTCTTCCTTGCCGAGGGCATCGCGGATCTCGGCGAGGCGTCTCCACGGTCAGCCGTTCGGCACAGCGATGAACGTGGCCTGGCTAATGGTCACGGTTGCGCCGAGCATCGCGTCTCGTTAACCATCACAGCGTTGTTGAAGTCGAGCAACGCCGCACTTAGGTCGGAGCCTTCCGATCGGGCGATGTCTAGCCTGCGCTGGAGAATGTAGTTAAGCTCGAACACGCCGTCGTGTGGAAGGAAGCCCTTCTGGCATTTTGAAAAGACGGCGTGTTGGACAATCGATGCCGGGAACCAGGCTGCAAGGCACTTGGCGTAGAGCTTCGCAGCCGTGCAGCCGAGGGCTATGGGCCTGCCAGTTGGAAGGGACCTGGGGGTCTCCTCTCTTAAAGATAGAGGACGATGCGAGTCGTCCTCCAAGAGTCTGGCGTGCGTCGGTGGTATAGGCAGGTGTTGAAGAGCGCCGTCAGGAACCGCGCCTCCGGGTCGACCGTCCGCCAATGGTGGTAGGTCGAACGATCCGCGCCGGGGGCCGTGCTCTCCAACTTTTGCAGACGCCCGAACACCTCGTCCGGTGTGAAGTTGATCGTGTAAACTCCCGCCGGAGCCGGATCTTTTCCAGTAGTAGGGTAGAGTCGGCCTGGCGGGCGAACCACAGTGCGCCCCCAATGTTCTTGCAGATCCTGCAGCGGAATGGCGCACGTCTGAGGTGGTCCCTCCAGGATGAGCCTCACTGCGCAGGCGACGGTTGCGGCAGTACAGCCGCTGAATGTCGACCGCGTTCGAACAGGTCGGGCTGGCAAGCGCTGGCGCCCAGGACGCACCGGTGGGAGACGCACCAGCCGCGACAGGCCAAGGCGACGGCCTGCGTCCAAGCTTCCTCGCATTGAGCCCAGGACTCGTCAGAGGGCGGGTCCCACAACAAGGAGCGGAGCAGGCGTGCCTGGTCCTCGAGGAGGCGCGTGTGATCCGGTGGTATCCGGAGGGTCGCATTGTCAGACTCGGGCTGCTCCGGAACTTCGTCGCGTTCGTCAGCAACCACCGCGGCCTCGTCCACGGATGTGGGCGGCGACGGGGAGGAGGCCGGAGACACTGGGGACCCAGGTAAAACAACCGGGGACGACCCGGCATCGAGCGGCGGCGTAGACACCGCGACGTCGTCGGAGAGCGCGTGGTCGTCGTCGTTCGGAGGAGACGCGGCATCTCCAACGGGCGAAGCCGCCGACGAGCCGCGCAAGGCGGGAGCCTTGCCATGCGACGACGACGAAGGCCCGAGGTCGTAAGGAACCAGGACTTGCCTGGTGGACGACGAGGGTCGTTGCGGCAACGCAGAATTCGGCGACCGTGGTGATCCGGGGACAGGCGAATCCACGGGAACGCCGGCAGGCGGCGGGACCCCGATGTGTGACGGCCAGGAAAACGTGACGACTCCAGCGTCGCGCATGGGCTGCTCGAAAGGGACCAGGCTTGCGGCAGGGGATGGTGCCGGCGAACCGGGGACAGAGGCTGAGCCCACGGACGTGGACGAACCGCTGGTAGACTCGTACACGAAGGCAGCCGGTTCGCTGATCGACGCGGGCGAAGAGGCCGCCGACCCAGCGGCCGGAGACGACGAGGGCCGCACAGAATGTGCGGCATCAGAAGGCGCTAAGCCTCGGAGGCGTCGCGAAGCCCGGGACGCTGCAGGCGGCGGGGAACCCGAGGACGACGAAGAAGTGGTGGTAGAGCTGCTGACGTGGCGCACATGCCGGGCAGGCGTGCACGCACGAGCGGCGGCAGAAAGCCCAGCCTGGTCGACGTGGCATCACAGGTGGTTGGCCAGGCCACGCGCCGACGTAAAAGTCGCGTCACAGTCAAGGCGCCAATACATTTCGACGTGCCGCGGAACGCGTGCTTGCCGGCGTTCATTTCGTCGCATCACACCGACGTTGCCACGCCAGGTGCGGGTCCTGCTATATACTGGTAGGCACGCGCCGCGCTGCGCATGTGCTTTGCTTTGATGCATGCGCTTTCAGTGCGTCCGGCATCCCTTCGTCACGAGAACAGGCAGACGCAGTGTTGTCTGGGTAACGCATCAGCGCGAATTTCGCGCCGTTTGCCGTCGGGCCGCGCCGACAAACGCTGGTCACGCCGGTCGCGCCTGGCGTTGTGCAATAAAGTGCTCGCGTTTTGCTAACGTAGCGCCGCTGTGCCCAGCGTGCGCGCGCGTCAGCGCTACATCGGAGGATATTGGGCCCTCATGATGCGCTCGCAGCCGTTTTCCTAGCTACACATATACCAAATTTGGTTTAACGTGACGTCAATGGATGACAAATATATGACTGGTGCAAACATGATAATCCTGACACACATGTCATGTAAGAACATGACAACATACCACGCTAATAGCGTGCTCGCGGGCGTTTCGCTAGCTGCCCACACGCTAAATTTGGTATCACGGGACGTGGATAGATGGCGAAGGTAAGCGACGCATACAAATATGATAATCATGACACGGAAGTCATCTAAGACATCATTTACATTTACCTCGTAACGTTGTGCTGATTTTAATGTGACATATTAATCTTTCTTATTAGTGCTTTGCATATTATCAATTTCCACTATACATGAAATCTGCAATTTTTTTTTTATGCGAAGCATTTCTTAGCGAACTTCGACGACTTTGAGCGTATCTATCTATCTATCTATCTATCTATCTAGCTCCTTAAGACTTTTAGTTCTCCTGGTCGTTTCAATAATGGTATCGATACCGAACTTGGTATGGAATAACATGACTGTATGAAGAACATATTTGACTAGTCGGAACTTGAAAATCGTGGCATGTATGTCAGGAATGTCATGATTTACATTTTATGGTCTTGTAGCTCTTGCGGTGCTTTCGTACACATGGCATGTTGCAAAACTGATATGGTATTGCATGATTGAATGGCGAACACAAGCGACAGACTAACATGAAAATCATGGCATGCGTGTCATCTAACATCACTACATGCCACGCTCATGATGCGCTCGCGGCCATTTCGCTAGCGTCACATATACCAAATTTTTTTTGTATTACAGTACGTGAATGGATGGCGAAGGTATGTAAGTGGTGCAAACACGATAAACAAGGCATGTCTGTCATGTGTCGACATGAGTACAAGCCACGCTCATGATGCACTGGTGGCCGTTTCGCTAGCTTCACATGTATCGAACTCGGTATTACCATACACGGACGTACGACATAGGTAAATCACACAGCTACACATGATAATCACGACATGCGTGGTATTTAACAACATGACTATACATGCCACACTGATGATGCGCTCACGGCCGTTTGCTAGCTTCACGTGTACCAAACTCGGTATTATGCGACGCCAATGAATTGCGAAGCTACGTGACTGGTGCAAACATGATAATCATGAGATGTGTGTCACGTGAGAACATGACTACAAGCCACAGTCAAGGCGCCAATACATTTCGACGTGACGCGGTGCGCGTGCTTGCCGGCGTTCGTTTCGTCGCGTCACACCGACGTTGCCACGCCAGGTGCCGGTCCTGCTATATACTCGTAGGCACGCGCCCCACTGCGTTGCTTTGACGCATGCGCTTTCAGCTGCGTCCAGGCGTCCCTTCGTCACGAATAGAGGGAGACGCTAGTGTTGTCTGGGGAACGCAGTGGCGCAAAATGCAGTATGACGCATTTGCTGTCAGGTTGCCGTCGGGCCGCGCCGACGGACGCTGATCGCGCCTGGCGTCAGGCTATAGAGTGCTCGCATTTCGCTAACGTCGCATCGATGTGCCCAGCGTGCACGAGCGTCAACGCTACATAGGAGTATATTGGGTCCTTCATGATGCGCTGGCGGCCGTTTTGCTAACTGCAAATATGCCAAATTTTTGTTACGTCACTTCAATGGATGACGAAATATATGACTGGTGCAAACATGATAATCCTGACACGCGTCTAGGATTGTCGCGCTTGCAGGTATAGTTTTTTTGCGAGTCGCTGTTTATGGCTTCAAAAAAATTAGCGCTGTCCTCCAAGTTTATCCAGTACTGTATATTCCTCGGTCACAACGCAAGACACGTGTTTTGAACGCAAAAAATAAGTACCTCGCGCCGGTTCACCACAATCTACACCATCCTAACAAGCGTCACCATGTGACAGCTTTGGAGCACGGCTACATGGCGCCGCTGGAATGAACGAATAGAAAGCAAAATTTGCCACTTTTGTCGTAGACTGAAGTGACTACGAAAGAGCAGAAGAGCACAGTGACGGCACATAGTACACTTTAATAACAAATTATAAAATAAAACTTCTTTCTTCAAAAAACAGTTTAAAGCGTGTATTTGCATTGATCGTATGCATTTTCGCATTTTGTAAAACAGGGCTAGACACAAGATTATCAAGGTTCATATTCATTATGGCGCCATGCAGAAATGATTCACACAAAACGAGCTTCAGCCTTCTTGTACAATCTCCAATCGTGTTCTTTTTTATTTCCACCTGCCCAGTTTGCCGGTCACTTCGGTCTTCATAAAATGTTGAAATAATGGCAAAGACCCAGCCAAAAACTAAATTTCTCCCCTCAGTGCAAAATTAAAGTACGCTATGGTGAAATGCGGTAACATGGAGAGCTCCGATGATAAGCAACTATCACAATACGTTTCAACAATAATATTTTGAATGGAAAAAAATGCATCGTTCATATGATGATAATGTGCGCAACGGAAATTAAGCTACAGCACACAACTTTTACAAGGGTGTTGTCAACAAAAGCATACAAATATTTTCTAAACAACAGAGCATCATGAATAAAACATAAAAAACGAGAAACAGCTCTCAGGTCTTCAATGTCTTCAGCTTTCGCTCATTATTGGCATTACGCAATTTGTCGTTTTTTGTGCGGCTCAAGTTTTTCAGCAGTGTATTCGTTGCAGCACTGACAACATGCTCAATTACTTCCTGTGCAGAATTACCAGAATCACACGCATCTATAGATGTCCGCATAGTCTGCAAGGGTAGAGAACACAAGGCTTACAAGAGCGTCTTTCTGCGTAGGAATGCTGCGAAATCACGCAGAGTACTCTGGCGCCCTGAGCTTGTCTAATATAATTTCAGTAAACAGCACAGCGTTAACTACAACTGCTCGTGGAAACTTCAGCCCACCCCTCGACATCTTCCTGATTAAGGCACTCTCAGCGTCATCTAGGTCGACGTCTTGCATCACAAGGTTTTTCCTGCAAGATCCTCATGCCTATTTCTTTAAAGCTGCATGGGCGCAATAGCCGGCAACGCCAATAGCCGGCAACGCCAACGCCACCACAGAAAGCCTTGACGCTTTTTTTTTTCTGAATGTCAGAATCAGTCACAGCGACATCAAAGGGGCCGTGAACTGACGGCATACCTGTCCTCCATGTATTCGCACTCGGTGCTGGCTAGCTTGTCTAAATCTGGCTGGTCCGAAACCTTCTGCAAACGCAGTTTGTTTTCAGATTTATATATACCTTATACCGGTGTCACACGGGCACTTTTAATCGCGATCAGTGTCGATCCGGATTCACCACGATCCAGATTAGGGCTGCTACACGGTCACTTTTAATCACGGTCAGGCATGATCGGGATCAAGACTATCGCGATCTGCGCATCGCGATAGTGCCCGAAAGATTGCGATTTTGCTGCTGTCTGCAGCAAAACCCAACCTGAGCTTGTTGAAAGCACAATAAACAAGAAAATCAAGCATAGTTTCGATAAAATGCTTTAAAACAGCTGGATATCTATAAAAAAGAAAATTCTAAACTGTTTAAATTAAAACAATATCTAAAGTATTGCGTATTTTAGGATTCGCAACGACCGCATGTAGTTACGGGAGAAGCAGACGGCAAGCAGTCGACCATTTCCTTCAGCGCTTAGTTCAACTCTCGCTCTGTCAGAGCTGTTAGAGCACCTAGAAGCAAACTAATTATGAGTGTCGCAAGCCTTTTGACTATACGTCGCAACGTACGGACACTTCGTGGTCGAATGAAGAGATCTTTACAGTGACCACCGGCAGATGCGACTGGAACAGACCTGAGGCGCCAGAAGTAAAACACTGGCGCGTACAACGAGATTGACGCTTCGCTGCGACTACACGGCTACGAGCGGGGGCCATCAGAAAAAAAAAGCGAAGGTTAAGAATCTCACCCAGCAATAGAGGTATAAGTGCTAGGAAAATTTTATCACGTGATGGATTCATGAAATTACTATTGCAGTGGCCAGCAAAGCTTTTGACGTTCCAGCGGTTCTTTCACGTATAACATTGATGATAAAGGGCTCTAAAGGCGTGCCGTACGTCGTGTATTCCTAATGGCATGCTTTATGGCACGCAAATGCCACCTGGGGCATTTCATCTGACCTAAGCTCGAATCGGATTAGCTTGGGCCGTATAGCAGTGGTCATAACGTTGATCACGATCAGGAGAACACAATCTGATCGCCCTGATCGCGATTAAAGTGCCAGTGCGACACCGGTATTATTGACACATGATAATTCGCACCCGACAGTTGCCGATACTTTCCGAAGCGATCCTCTGAGCAGTCTATTTGAAATTTGCCTAAAAGAACGTACTCAAAATGAAGCTCTTCTAGGCAGTATATGGCTAGTTCGTGCAAAGCGTGGGTAGGGTGGCTGCGTACGTTTCACGCGTAAGGCGGCCGTTTTCATGTCTGAGGCTTTCCCATTGACCAAGCCACTCAACTATTTCTTGCAGGAACTTGAGCTGTGGACACAAAGATGACACCATTGTCCCAGTGATATTGCAATCACTGTCATTTTCTTGGCGTCTTTCCGATAACAATGTTCCACCAAGTCAGTATGGTGTCAGTGTACTCAGATGTTTCCTTAGCATGCTGAAACGTTGCGGTACTGAGAGCAGCAACAATAGATGGGAAAAGAACCTTTAGTGCAAGCTTAACGTCATGTCGTTCCATGTTGGAGGGGTTCAGCACTTTCAAAGTGAGAGTTGACGCTAAATTCAACAGCTCATGCTTTTCAGCTTCGTGCGACTCGCACAATATCTTAAAAGATGCTGCAAGTATCTTTGGTTCAGCCTCATTACTTTTTGGTTCCGGAAAGTACACGCATTTTCCTATGTTTCGTTGATTGAGCCAGGTACTTTTCGCACAGTTTAGTATGTGAACTGGGTCCACCACAAAACACAGGGGTCGCGATGAGGCAGCAGGGTGCTGGTAAACAAAGCGTGACATTTGCGGGCTTAGCGAAGAAGGAAATAGCTTTTCTGTTTATGGAGTTATTGTCTGAGATCAATGCGATTATTCTAAAACCAGATGCCTCGAGATCAAGAATAAGCTTTCGGAAGAAGTCATGTAATGCCTTAGCATCAATTTGCTCTACAAGAAGAATGTTCACAACATCCTTGTTTGAAGAAAGAAGGCTCTGTATCATAAATACGAGGGCAGTCTTTGCCGCAGTTGATAAACTTGCCGCAGTGCCAGTTACAAAGCCAGCCTTTCAATCGAAAAAAGACTGCAGATGAACCTAATCAAGCATCAATGTCACAGTCCTTTCGTGCTCTTTAAGTGTGCTTACAATCTACTTGGCATAAGAAAGAAAGCTCATTTCTTGCTACTTCCTTATGGGGTTCATATCACACGATGAACACAGTCTTCTGATAGTATCAGGATGCGGCATCTTAAGCTTCATAGAATTTCTCAAGAATCTGTATGCGTAAGGGGAAATGGTGAACAAAACGCTAGGAAAAACCAACAAATCTGGGGGATAAATGCTGGCGTTAAATATTCAAAACGAGATCAACTTGACTCTTCAAGAATTTGAGCACCTCCAAACGCCATTCTCGCAACTCGCATGCAAAATGTTCGCCGCTTACTTGCTCTAGTAACGTCGACACCAATCTCAGTAGATCATGAGCTTTCTCAGAAGGCACCGCACTGATATCTTGGCGAGCCTGTTCGATGATCTCTAGCACTCTCTTCAAAACTCTTAAGTCACATATCTTTTCAGGAACTTGCACATGATCAGAATTTTTACGACCGTTTTACCAAAAAATACTTCAATGCGATGGTCAGCAGACACGATCATCAAAATGCGGATGGTTGGAGCAGAATGGAGAGCCAAGTTCAAAAAAGTAAACCCTGGAGTCCTTGTGGATTACAGTCCAGAAATCTGAATGCTCAAATCCTGGCAAGGCGTTGAGCAAGTCCACAAAACTACTGAGGTTATTTTTGGTTTCCTCTTCTGCTTGCATTTGCAGCTACAGCATTATTGCATTGTGCAAACGAGCGGCTTCCAATCGCGTTCTTGTCACATCCGGTGCTTCCCGAACGCATTGTTGCGGCCGCGATAAGTAGGCAGGGCAGTTGGGAAACAAGCTGGGCACGGCAGTTTGCTTCAAACGACTGCTCTTTAGGGTGACTTCGACAACTTTTCCTGTCTTGACGTCTCTGTAAGATGTCGTCTTCAAGTAATCCGATGGCAGGAAATGCTTTTCACAGCGCTGAAACGAAATAAAAAGATGTTAAAAACATGCACACTTCAATTCCGCTATCAGAGTACGCCCGGTATCCCGGTAAGCCCGGTATAATTTAACTGTCTAATGACCACTGCCCGACCACAGGAAAACGCAACGTGTGTCGTGGCGTCCCTTTGGTCGGCTGGCATTATCCGCCGGGTGAGCATGAGGGGGAAACACGCAGTTAAAGGCAGGCGAAACCATCGGGCGTCGCTGTGCTATTGTTGGTATGAATGGATCCAATATGAGTGGCGCCGAAGCTCGGGGTAAGGTTTCACCTGTGGGTGTGTTAAGGTGCTCACAAAATAGCACTTATTTTACTGAAAACGCGTCAAATGGGACAGAACCTCAGAAACTACGCATAAAACTAACTAATCGTGGATGGCACGGTCAGGATGCATTACTGCACTTTACCATTACTGCACTTTACTGAACTTTACATTACTGCACTGTCCTCTGCGAGAGGACAGTGGAAGACATGAATGGCGTATTTTAAAGCCTACAGGGTACGTGACTATGGCTCAGTATGTTGTACGTAGTTCACAATTACTGGTGTTGATCCCATGCATTGAAGAAGAAAATAAGGACCATGGTGCAGTTGATAGCGTGCCTGGCATGTGTTGTCGCCGCGGACCCAACGCCATTGTTCAACGCCCCGTGGCGGATCTTTTTTTACTTTGTCTTCTGATCGCGCATATTTTTTGACGTCATTTTCATGACGGAAATCTGTTATGAAATATTGGTGGACCCCGGCAGAAAACACTCTCGTGGTAGAAATTTCTAGGGCATGCGCGATTCAATTCCGGATATCTGCGGTCCAAAAGGCCAGTGTTTCTACGCTCGCCGGAGAACAAGTATTACCATAGTACGCTAGCATTACGTGGTGTAAGAGAACGAAAAAAAATAGCAAGAAAGACAGGAAAGAAAAGGGTTGAGAGATATAAACGCGGAAAAACAAAGAAAGATAGAAGGAAACAGAGAGTTAAAGAGCGTAGCATAGTCTGTATAGCATATAACATGGTGAGCAGGCGGGAACGGGACGGTGGGAGAAGGAAAAGAAGACAGAGGATGAAACATAGCATATTATTGTATAGTACATAGTATAGTAAGCGATATGGGCAAGGGAAATGAGGGTAAGAGAAAGAAGGAGGTGAACGCTACCAGATTCACTCTTTCTGCTCAGTGTTCGCAGTTTGTACTAGTGCACAGCTGCCCCAATATTCTTGTGCGTCTTTCAATTAATTATTTTTCTATGTTTTTTTACTTCGATGACGTGATAGCTATTGCTGACTTAAAACCACCAACTCAAGCACGCTTTTTTTCGCGCTTTCTCGTTTATAATGTGTGACTTCACATGCTGAGACTGTAGCTCAATGAAGCAAGTGTCTGTGCTATTCGCAGGACGGTGAGCAGTGATGAAGGCAGCGGTGACCACGTCATCGACCACAAGGACGACGCCTACGACGAAGGCGGCGATCCGGGCAGCAGTGAAAGCAGCAGCCAGAGTGAAGAGGAAGAGGCAGTTGGGCGAGTGTTTGGCAATCCACTGGAGGACGACAACGATGACGAGGCGGAAATGAGCGACGACGACGGCGACGAGGTCGTCAAGCAGAAGACTTCATCCTCCACGCCCTCGCCGTTGCCCTCGAAGGCTCACCGACGCACCGAGCGGTCGGTGCCCGTGACCGGAACGCTGCTTCCTCCTCCTCGCAGGCCGTGGAAAGAGCATGGGAAGGTGAGTGTGTTTAGAGCTAGACTTTACCTCTTTTTGTTTTCATTTTCTCTTTAGTTTAATTTGAAGAGAGATGACGCAGCGTGGGCTTACAACACTTTGTCGCCAGGGAAGGTCGCCAGAGAAGGTATACACAACAAACCATTATCGCCTTTTTTTTTCTTAGCATCTCCTTATTGTATTTTCATGCACATAAACGCTCACTTATTTCTAAGAGAAATCATGAGGAACCGCGCGCCAGAACAACGACGCCGCTTTTAGTCGGTACAGAGGCTAAAACTGTAGTCGTCATGCCGCAGAAAGAAGACCTGTACAAACTATATGCTTATACACAGTGTTGTAAGTGTTCCCAAATAAAAGTTATACTAAGAAAGGGGCATAGGAACACAATAGTGTGACGGGAAAAAACGTAATAATCTATATTCATATTTTACATAAAATTTTAATCTGAGGAAAGAATGACTTAAATGAAGCATTGATATATCAAAAATTATTCGCAAAAACATGCCAGCCTTTAGCAATAATATAGTTGCCTAAGCTACCTAAAGCTGCGCCTGATGGCACATAACAGCATGGCACAGTTGTAAAATGATTTCTCTAAGAGACTTCAAAGAGAGAATGGATTTTATCATCAACATTCTCCGCAGATAAAACATCAGAGAACTTCCAAGAAACTTGCAGTAATTCTGACTGAACACTTAACACAACATATGTGGAGATTATGTTGTGATAAACAAATGCTTAAATAACATGGTTCTGAGAAAAAGGTTTGCAACTTTGCCATATAAATTTTTCTTCCTTTTTTAAATGCAGCAAAAATTGTGTGTCACTATTATAAATAGTAAAGTACTAAATTATGTTACCTTGTATTAGTACATTGTGTTTGCATAATCTTTACCTTTGTCCCTTTAGTTTTTTATACTGGTTACATCCTTTATTAGTTGTATGAAAGTACTGTTGTCATCCCGCCCCCCTATGTGATGCCTGTTCTTGGGCCCTTAGTGTGAAGAAAGAAATTATGGTGTACTGCTGGGCAAGACATTAAAAAAGATGATGACATAGGGATATTGAGGCCAATAAGAGTGTTGTAATACGCCAGCGACTTACAAATCATTCAAGTGCTTCAGGCTGCAATGTGCATACAATGCGTGTATGAGTGCGCCAACGCATTATATAGCATGGCGACTTAGATGCCTGTTGCTTTCACTTACATACACTAACAGCACTTTTATAAAACCCCTTACGTCCTCAAGACTACTCATAAAGATATATAGCATATAAAATTAACGGGATTGCCTTTTCATACAAGGCAAACTATTCTGAGGCCAATGAAATCTCTCGGAGAGTTTCTGTTAGCAATTCGTCCTTATACTTACACTCGCAAAATTTCGTTCACGAAGAAATGATCAGCAATTTTTCAGTTGTTAGCTTATACTGGGTGCATCAGCTGTCTCTAGCCAGAATTTAGAAATATGTCGACGCACTCTATTATGCCCCAACATAGTGCATGTTGCTTACTTTTGCACAGAGTAAATCATACAATATTTGTGTGTTCTTCATTGCCTAATTAAACCTAATTATTGAACTAATTTTCGGAATTAGCGAGGCTGGACAAAAAATTTCTGTAATGGCTTTGTAGATTGGTTTGCAAAATCGCCAATCAGACATTGCAAACATTAAAGTTAATATTCGCTACTGTTTTTCTGCCTACTACAGATTCTTGCAAGCTACAAAAAACATGTGACATGTCAGCATGCATAAATATGTACACCAGGATTGCAAACAAACACTCATACTGGACCATTTTCACATTTTGCAGACTAATGATGGTTCTCGTTAAATGCCTTTAAATTGCCTGCAATATCTTCATGAACATACACCTGGAAAATCTAGCACAACGACAATGCTTTATACATGTACATGGATGGCATAGCATCAACATCTGAAAAGGCTTTAGTATATTTTTTATCGATCAGGGTGCTGAGCTAGAAGTCATTCACGTACAGTACATGTGTATATGATAACAATCTTGACTTCTGCTATTCCTACATGTTTTATCTGATGTTCCACCCTCTTTCTGTGATGATCCCCAGAACTACGAATGGCATAATGATAAAACTCCAATGCCTCGATTCAACGGAAATTGCATTGCGGTTCAACTGTGTAACGTGGATATTACTGTATGATACGCAATTTCTTTGTAATAAGGTTCTACAGCATTTCCTTGTTAACTGCAGGCTATATATTGTCACGATGAGTCACAAGTACTGGGGGATTTATTAAACCACCGGGTAGCAATCTCTACGACGATGCATCAGTCGTGGCTTGCTTGCTTGTTCCTTTCTTTTGTGGCTCTCACCCACTAAGGGGGATTGGCCAAGAAGCTGGCTGTCAAGCAGAGAAGAAGCACGCGATCTTCTTTTTCCTCCAGATTGAGAGCCGCTCTTGCTGTCGACCCACTACGTGCTGGTGGCATTATCCCCCCTTCCGAAAAAAAAACAAGTCCTAAAAAGAGGAAAGGAAAGTACATAGCATCACCGCGATGCTACTACATAGGCACGTGAAAAAGAAATTGGAAATTCGGATAAAGTGAAAGTAAAAATTGAAGAGCGTGCCAATATAAGAAACGTCAATGAACGAGAAAGCGAATTCACACAAATAAACAAAAAACACAAAGAATGCTGTACGGTAAAGGAAAAGTTACGAGCAACGCGCAATAAATGGTTTCATGCGCAACACATGAACGACGTCCGGCCTCAGTCATGTCCTGCTCCGTGCATGGGGTGTTGAGTCCGGAACCACTTCGTAGTTCACGTCACTGACGCGTCGTAACACTTTATATGGGCCAAAGTACCGGTTCAGTAACTTTTCACTAAGGCCACGGCGGCGGACGGGCGTCCACACCCAAACTTGATCTCCGGGGTTATAAAACACTTCTCAGTGGCGGGTGTTATAGCGTCGTGCGTCTGCCTGCTGTTGCTGGCCGATGTGCAGTCGCGCGAGTTGCCGGGCTTCCTCAGCACGCTCTGCGAATTCTTCGGCGTCAGTTGCCAACTCGTCTTCGTCTTGACATGGTAGCATAGAGTCTAGCATGGTCTGCACTTCGCAGCCGTAGAGAAGCCGAAATGGCGTGAATCGCGTGGTCTCTTGCACGGCGGTATTATACGCGAAGGTCACGTAAGGTAAGATCCGGTCCCATGTTTTGTGCTGTACGTCGATGTACATTGAGGTCATGTCTGCGAGGGTCTTATTCAGTCGCTCGGTAAGTCCGTTGGTTTGCGGGTGATACGCAGTTGTCCTTCGGTGTCTGGTGTTGCTCAGTTTGAAAACTTTGTCCGTAAGCTGTGCCGTGAATGCCGTCCCTCTGTCCGTTATTACATTGGAAGGAGCACCGTGTCGTAACACGATGTAAAGCATGAAAAATTGTGCTACCTCAGAAGCCGTGGCTCGTGGGATCGCCTGCGTCTCAGCGTAGCGTGTCAAATAGTCGGTCGCGACGATCACCCATTTGTTGCTGTCCGCAGACAGGGGAAATGGCCCGAGAATGTCCATGCCGATTTGGTCGAACGGCGTGCAGGGTGCTTCGATGGGCTGAAGCAAACCGGCTGGTTTAACAGATGGTTGCTTTCGGCGCTGACATTCCCGACAGCTCTTGACGTACTTATTAATGCTTGTTGAAAGTCCTGGCCAATAGTACCTCTCGCTCACTCTGGCAAGTGTCCTTGAGTAGCCCAGATGACCGGATGTGGGTTCGTCATGGCAAGCGAAGAGGACGTCGTCTCGCATGTCTCGAGGAACCACCAGGAGATAAGCACGGCTGTTCGAACGAGCGTTCTTCTTGTAGAGCACACCGTCTCGCAGGCAGAACGACGTCAACGAGCGGGATAAATGACGTGGTATGATAGCGCCCTGGCCCTCTAAATGATCAATGATTGGACGAATCTCTGCGTCATCTCGCTGCCGTTTGCTCAAGTCTGATGCGCTAACGGCTCCCAGGAAGCCTTCGTCTTCCTCTGCTTCCTGACTGACGACATGAAGGGGTGCGCGTGACAGTGCGTCAGCGTCTTCATGCTTACGGCCGGACTTATGGACGATGGTGACATCAAATTCCTGCAGCCGCAAGCTCCACCGTGCTAGCCGTCCTGAAGGGTCACGCAGGCTTGCCAACCAACAGAGCGCGTGATGGTCCGTCACTATCTTGAAGGGACGACCATAAAGGTACGGGCGAAACTTTGTGATTGCCCACACGACTGCGAGGCACTCTTTCTCCGTAGTGGAATAATTCGCCTCGGCACGGGATAGAGAGCGGCTGGCGTAGGCTATGACTCTTTCGGCGTCCTCTTGACGCTGAACGAGCACTACACCGAGCCCAATGTTACTAGCGTCAGTATGGACCTCCGTGTCAGCATCATCATCGAAAGGAGCGAGAACGGGCGCTGATTGCATGCGCTGTCGCAGCTCATCAAAAGCTGCTTGTTGCTCGTTTTCCCAGCCAAACGGCGTGTCGTCCCTTGTGAGACGAGTCAGAGATTCTGCTATCTGTAAAAAGCCATGAATGAACCGGCGATAGTAGGCGCACAAACCAAGGAAGCGCCGGACGGCTTTCTTATCGACAGGAGTTGGTAATTCGGCAACAGCGGCAAGCTTGGCCGGATCGGGCCGGATTCCTTCGGCGCTAACTACATGTCCAAGAAATTTTAGTTCTTTATAGCCGAAGTGGCACTTCGGTGGCTTTAGTGTGAGGTCCGCTGATCGGATAGCCTCCAGCACGCTGTGCAGGCGGTGAAGGTGCTGCTCGAACGTGGTAGAGAAGACCACCACATCATCAAGGTAGACAAGACAAGTCTGCCACTTGAGCCCTGTGAGGACAGTGTCCATCATTCGCTGGAAAGTTGCCGGCGCCGAACACAGGCCAAAAGGGAGCACTCGAAATTGGTATAGGCCGTCTGGAGTCACGAAGGCTGTTTTCTCACGGTCTCGCTGATCTACCTCGATTTGCCAACACCCGCTTTTGAGATCGAGAGAAGTGAAATGATGGGCACGACGAAGTCTATCCAGCGAATCGTCGATACGTGGCAGCGGATACACATCCTTTTTGGTCACGTTGTTAAGCTTTCGGTAGTCGACGCAGAAGCGTAGCGAACCGTCCTTCTTTTTGACAAGTACGACTGGAGATGACCACGGGCTGTTAGATGGTTCAATAACGCCATCGCCAAGCATCTCGATGACTTGCGTACGTATCGCTTCACGTTCTTTAGCCGACACGCGGTAGGGGTTCTGGTGTATTGGGCGTGCGTCCTCGTACGTGATGATCCTGTGTTGAGTGATAGACGTCTGGCGGATCTTTGAGCAACTTGCGAAGCAAGACCTGAACTCGAACAAGAGCGCTCGTAGCGCAGTCTGGTTATCGGTGGACAGATCAGTATTGATGTCAATATTACTCATTGATGTGTCGGTGGTATCCACTAGTTCTGACGTGAGACAGTTGGTGACGTTTGCTACTTCGTGGGCAAACGCTATCGAAGTGCCACGGAACAGATGTCGATGCTCGTTGCTAAAGTTGGTTACGAGCAATTCGGATCGGCCATCACGACGGTGTAATACACTTCTAGCTACACAAATTCCTTGCTGCAGGAGGTGTTCTAAATTTGTCTCGGCCACCACATCGCCATCGGCCAAACCACAGCATGTTACATCGACTAGAACACTTGCTCGTGGAGGAAGTGTCACGCTCTGTTCAGAAATACGGAGTACGTCGACACGCTTTCCGTCATCCTGCACGTTGATTGCTCGCTGGGCTGAGAGCGTGACGCGGCGCTTTTGCAGATCAATGATAGCTCCATTTTCCTGTAGAAATTCCACTCCCAGGATGACGTCACGGGAACATTCGCGTAGAACGAGGCAGCTTGCTACGAATGTATACCCTTGGATCTGTACTCCAGTTGTGCAGGCACCCAGTGGAGTAACGACGTGGCCACCAGCTGTCCGAATCTGTGAGTTGTGCCACGGCGTGATGACTTTCTTCAGCTGCGTTGTCAGTTTTCCGCTCAGTATGGAATAGTCGGCGCCGGTGTCCACTAACGCATTAACTGCACAACCATCAATTGTCACTGCTGTGTCGAGTGAAAGTCGGCCATCTTTTGCAGCAGTGTGTGATGTCGGACCGGTTTCTGTACGGTTCTGCGTTAATAGGAGGTCTTCAGCGCTTCGACGTTCAGCGACCCCGCCCCCAGAGGTCGCTTGGCCTAGTTTTCCCGGCGGGGGCTGGGAGATCGTGTGGTAGAATACCGCTGGGACATTGATGAAAATCGCCTCGGTGATGGCGAGCGCGACTGGCGCCCGGCAGACGGTGGTGCATGCTGCTGGGCGAGGTAGTTTTCGATTTCGCGTGGTCTCTGGCCGTAACAGGGTGGCGGTGAGTACGCAAAGAAGCCGCGAAGCCCAAGACGGCGATATGGGCACTGGCGGTACAAGTGATCAGCTTCTCCACAGTGAAAGCACAGAGGCCGGCGATCAGGTGTGCGCCAAACATCAGACTTCCGAGGAGACGTGCGCCGATCGTCGATGTACTGAACTGGTGGCACTGAACGATGGGCGACAGGAGCGCCAGGGACAAAGGGCAAAGGCGGTGGCGTGTACGTGCCTTCGTGGTACGGTATGTGCTGTGCTGACTGGAGTGCAACAGCAGGAACAGGATGGACGAGTAATGGCGGCGACGCAGCAGGGCGTTTCAAGGCTTCCGCGTAGGTTGTCTCACGGCGGTATTCAGCAGGAGCTGGTGCAGCTGTATCAGGAAGCAAGGTGTTCCGGAGGGCCTGGTGCAGCTCATCCTTGAACACAGTTGCAATTGAGCTAACCGTAGAATGAGGTGTTACACCAGCCTTTTGCAACTCTTCACGTACTATATCACGGATGAGTTCACGTAGACGGTTGTTGCTGGTTCTAGTGGCGGTGAAAATGTCGGCAGTAGACATGCCACTGACTTGCCTGTCGTATTGGTTGAATCGCTGCTGCAGAATTTTTTCCATTGTCACGGCCTCGGACAAGAACTCCACGACCGTCTTCGGAGGGCTGCGCACGAGGCCGGCAAAAAGCTGGTCCTTGACACCGCGCATCAAGTGACGCAACTTCTTGTCCTCCGTCATTCTTGAATCGGCCCGTCGGAAGAGGCGCGTCATGTCTTCGACGTACGTGGTCACAGTTTCGTTTGGCAACTGGACGCGGGCCAGAATAGCTCGTTCAGCTCGTTCTTGGCGATCAGCACTGGCATAGGTCTGCAAAAGTCTACGAGAGAATTCGGGCCACGTCGTCAGCTGCTCCTCTCGGTTTTGATACCACGTACGTGCCCTGTCTTCGAGATAGAAATAGACACGACCCAGTTTCGCCACGTCGTCCCACTGATTCAAGGTGGCTACATGCTCGAAGTCCGCCAACCAGTCCTCAACGTCCTCGTGCTCCGTGCCATGGAACGTCGCCGGTGCCCGTGAGCTTTCCAACGCATAGCGGTTCAACGTCGTGCTTCCCGTGCCTGTTGACGAGGTTTCCACCGAAGCGCTGGTCATGTTTGTCGACGTGGTTGGAGCAGTATCGTCGATTTCCGGAGGCAATCCCCTGATTCGGCGGCTGGTCCGATGCACGGGAGTATTGATTGGCACTGGACTCGTATCACGGCTTCTTGGGGGGGGGGGGGGTCTGCAGCATCTGTGAGACTACCCAGCACCGCCACCAGTTTGTCACGATGAGTCACAAGTACTGGGGGATTTATTAAACCACTGGGTAGCAATCTCTAGGACCATGCGTCAGTCGTGGCTGGCTCTCAAGCAGAGAAGAAGCACGCGATCTTCTTTTTCCTCCAGATTGAGAGCCGCTCTTGCTGTCGACCCACTACGTGCTGGTGGCAATATTCAAAATTTTATGTGCTGCGTGTTTATGGTACTTTTCTCAATGCATATGACTAATCCTTTATATAATGCTCTTTTTGGCACCCAGACCATATTGCAGAAAGGGTGATACAGACAGAGTGAGTATACAATTTTGTAGAAGACCACAGCGGCACATCCACTTTCATCATAGGCAGAAGCACCGACTTGACCTGGGGAGGTCTTCGGCTCCCCTGGGCTTCACTTCCTCATGACTTTTATATTGTCACATCTTCTCTTCCTGTCATCTTCTTTTTTGCAGGATTTCGGCCTGCTAGTTCCCGAGGACCGTTGGTCAAAGCATGTGGCGGCCAAGCGACGCGAGGCTCAACTCATTCGCCGTAACCTTCAGGACCAGCTGAGGATGAAGGCGCTGCAGTGGAGGCAGAAGGAAAACCACTTCCACCGGCGCTACAAGCCAGCGATTCCAGCTGGAACCATCTAACCGCTCGCACATGTGTGTGCTTAAACTTTGTACTGATCCCAAATACACCCGAAAGGGTGCCAAAACGGTGCTGCTGATACCCTTCACAGCAGCACACCACCAAACTTCACGATTTGGCATCTTTACTTACGCATTTTCGTTACAAGACCGTAATCATGACCACTTGTGCTGGGCATGCCCTTTCTTTGCTGCAGCATTTTTGTGTTCCCCTTCAATCAAAGTACTACACTGCTGCTTGCCATAGCACTGCTATGAGATCCTAAGCTCCAACTCGACGCACTTTGTTTTTTCACTAAGTGTAGAATCATCATCACTTGAGTGAAAGAGATGCTGCCTTTCAGATGTACCGACAATTCCAAAGATTCCAAGATGCTTGATAGGCGTTATCTCCAGTGCTTGCAAGCGAACGCTGACCGCAGTTGGTATCAAAAACATGATGCGAGAAATGTTGGGCGTTCTGATAAACGTGCACTGATCATTTCAGCCCCATGCAGAAGAGATACCTACTGTATGTATACCAAGGTTGAGCATTCAATGAAGGATTGTTGAAGACAATGGATGTTAGCATACGGATGATGGCAAAGCATTTGCTGCTGAGGGAGCAGCACGAAAGAAGCTGAAGAAAGGCAGCTTTACTAGAAAGTCAACTTTTGTAGCGTGAAAAAACAGCAACCATCAGTAACATGTGTTGATGCTTATTATGACCATTGTTCATAGCACGAAGAGCTTGCACTGTAGTGCATTCCTCTACACCAATAAAGACTAGCAAAGCGGTATCATTGTAATGCACTTCCCAATAGAATGCCTGGCAGCCTTCGTGCCATGTTTTATTATGTAGCTTAATGTTAACAGTATACCATAAAGTATACAGAGTGAACCTCATGGCAGATTTTCTTTAACGAAAACATGATACAGTGGAATCGGCTGCTGGACAGCCTTCGAAGCATACCACCAAGCGATTCGAGTGCACCAGATAAAATATTCCATAATTCAGAGCACAATCTCAATCACACAGACGGTGACAGATCAAGATGGATCAAGACATGCCCCATCTTGATCGGTCGCCGTCTGTGTGATTCTTTGCCCTACTGTTCTGAACTATGCACTACCAACTAGTCTCTCAGTTTGTCCTTTTGATTAAGTATGTCTCTTCGATGCTATAATTAGTCCAAATGGCGCACCGTGTACATTATGGTGGGACATGGCAAGTCTTGATTACATCCAGGGTGCCCACGAAATTTTGTGGTGCTTTTGGGTACTCTCCTGCGCATAGAGCTGTTGACATGAACCTCGAACCCAAATCTGCTTCCATGCTACTTTTTGTACAATATTTCCTTAGTTTTAATGCTAGAGGGCCAATGTATGTACTCCAAGACTAGTGCTCTCCATTTAAACGTGTCATTCTCTGCTGCAAGAGTGGTACCCGAAAATTCAAAGCCTACCTAAAACTCATGGTATTGCGTTTAAGTACTGGTTCCTATCATTCTATTCTTGGGGTTATGTACGTGCATCTCAGTATTACTTGAACAAAAAAAGAGCAGTTCTTTTGTTGTGCTACATAGAATGCAACCATGGTTACTTCTGAGCAATGAGGTACCGACAAAATGTTATCGCACCGCATGTGACCGTGCGCTTGTAGAGCGAACAGCTTTTGTTATTCACAACCATTGCTTCGCTCACCAACACTTAGTTTAACAATGTTTTATTCTTATGAGTATATATGCCAGCAACTAGTCCACACGTTCTCTTGGTGAATTCCTATTCCTTTTGGTCAATATCTTGACTTGATTATCCTTTGAAATACTCACCCTCTGGTGTTGACCTCCGAAGTCATGACATATTCTCAGCAGAAAAATTTATTTTTTGGAGTTTGTGAAGTTAAATTACCACTGCTCGTTGATGTCCAGATTCTGCTGGGAAATAGTAAGAATACAGACTGGAGAAGAGTTTGTACCACTCTGTGACACAGTGCAGGCAGTGGTTAAGTGTGTAATCACTGCCCAAATTCCCACTAATATTTGTGAGAATGAGAGCTGCTGCCAGTCATGAATTTACAATTACGACAATATGAAATATGAAGTGCAAGTAGGCTGGGCTAAACACATTATGTATTGGGGGGTGTCAATAAATGTGAATGGGGCAAACAGTAAGCGGTTCACCCGACCACTATACATGGTTGCAAACAGCAACATAACTTGTCTAAAACACACGCACTAGCCTGAAAAGAGCATGAGCTGTGAGAAATAGGTGTGTTCTTGCAGTGTCCATAAAGTGGGCATGGTCAAAACGTTTTCTCACCAGACCAAATTTCATGGTAAGTGGTTGAAAACTATAAGATGTCAGCTCCACACCTGTTCTGTTAAGTCTTCACCCCCTTCTAATTGTCTGCAATTAAGCAGCTGATTAAAATTACAGCTGTCAGTGTTGGAAATGTCAACCAAAATTGAAAACCTGTTATTACAGCACACATGCCAAAAGGCATGAACCTCATACTACACGATAGATACCACACATCACTGAATTCACAGTGGATGTTTTACGTTTTTTTTATTTATATCGCTCAACTGTCTGTCAAATGCGTTCTCTACTCCCTCACATTCAAGTTGGCCAGGCTTCAAGCTTCTACAGTGCGATAAAAATATGCAAGTATGTTACCAAACATGAAAGCAAAGCAAAATGGACATTTGGAGCGTCTTGTTTATATCACTTGTTGGCTTTCCAGAACGAATAGTGTGACCTAATAACATGTATGGACTTGTGCTTAAAAGGTGGTTTGCAAGCATCCACCTGAAGAAAGTACCACGGTCATGATGTGTTGGAAATGCCTATAGCTATGGTACTAATGACCTCTGAGACCATCGGCTTGACATAGCTACTCCTTGGTGTTCTACAGCTTGACGCTGTGTTGCGTAGAACTCGTGGCCTCCAGTCTGGGCCGGCTGTATGCATTTGTGGCATCCACATTGTATGCACTCCACGAAACCAGAAAACTAGACTTAATTACATTGGAAGATTGGTTAGTCTGACTATGGGAGGGAGGTGTGTTGTTGCTTCACCTACCATTCACACTTATACTACAGTTGTGGTAAAGCCTTTGAACAGTGGGTCATCCTCTTCAGCGCCTTCTAGTGGGTCGCCCTTTTCTTAAGAAGAAAAGCAGCTCGTGCAGAGAGTCGATCCCCGCATTGACTGTCGCTGTCGTGAATCATCGCTGAGTGTCCGTCAATAAACCGCTTAACAATTTGGTGGAGAGTGCTGTGCCCTTCAAACACCTTCGGTCAGCATTCGATGCCCTTGGAGCTTTGATCCCGTACCGTGCCTCCAACCATGTACCAAGACGCCGCCCAGCAAACGCTTCCTCCTACACCGACGCCATGTCCCGGTGTCCCCCGCATCCGCGACCCTCCTGTCTTCACCGGCGCGGATGGCACTGACGTCGAGGACTGGCTTGCCATGTACGAACGTGTGAGCGTCCCCAATCATTGGGATGAGGCAGCTAAACTCGGCAACCTGTTCTTCTACCTTGCGGGTGTGGCCGGAATGTGGTACAATAACCACGCATCTGATTTCCCGACTTGGTCCGCTTTTAAAAACCGCTGTCGTCGACGTGTTCGGCCGCCCTGCCGTTCGTAAGCTGCAAGCTGAACAGCGTTTACGTGAACGAGCCCAGCAGACCGGTGAGTCCTTCACAAGTTATATCGAGGACATCCTTGACTTGTGCAAGAAGGTCGACCTGAACATGTCAGAGGCTGACAAAATCACGCATGTTCTAAAAGGCATCGCCGACGATGCCTTCACCATGCTCCTGGCAAAGAACCCCCGCACTGTGGCAGAAGTCATCATGTTATGCCAAAGTTACGACGAGCTGCGGCGGCAGCGCTTGATGACCCGTCGCCCGCCACCACGTGATGCTGATCTCTCGGCCTTGTCAGCAGTTCCAGACCACGCAACCTTGCTCGCCGAAATCAAGTCGTTCGTGCGTGAGGAAGTTGCCCGCCAGGTCTCTCTACTGGCTTTTGCTTCCCCACAACATGCTCAACAGCCATCAAGTACACTTCCACCTCCGCTCCGCCGAGCCATTCAGCAGGAAATCGCGGAGGTCGTCCCTGAATACCACCAGCCACCTCCTGCATCTGTGCCACTCAGCTACGCCCAAGTTGTTGCCAGGCCGCCCCCACCGATTTCTGTCACTGTTCCGATAATTACACCGAAACCGTCGCGAGGCCCCAGGCCTTTGGAGAACCTGTCTCGCCTACATACGCCGGCGTCACCCACGTGCCCCGAGTGCCGCCTACCATGCACTCATATCAGCAGCCGGCTCGCCAATCGCGTTCTGCGACATGGATGCGACCAGCAAACCAATGGCGCACTGCTGATAATCGCCCCATCTGCTTTGCTTGCGGTTGCGTCGGTCATGTGGCACGATATTGCAATCGTGTGCAGCAACCGCAGGTCGCCTCCAACTTTCCCAGCCAGTCAAGCCGCTCTTATGACCAACCGCCGCCTATGTCCCCGTCGTCCCGCCCCGTTCCGTCTACCCGCCGTTCACCATCTCCACGACGTCGCTCACTGTCACCGATGCGGCCACGTCAACTCGAGGGCGACCAGGAAAACTAGTCGTCGCAGTCCACGAGGCAAGGGCTGCGACGCTGTCGAACTGCGGAAGCCCTCAGGAAAGCCCGTCGAACGTGATAGACGTGCTTGTGGATGGCGTTCGTGCATCTGCCCTTGTAGATACTGGAGCCGCCGTATCCGTGATGGACGAAAAACTTTGCCGATTACTGCGAAAAGTGACCACGCCGCTTTGCGGGCTCTCCCTCCGTACAGCCAGCGCCCAAAGCATTCACCCTACAGCGATGTGCACAGCCCGCCTTATGATTCAGGACGTGATGTATGCGGTCGAATTCATCATAATTTCTTCATGCTCTCACGACGTCATCCTAGGATGGGATTTTCTCTCCCGCCACGACGCCGTCATTCATTGCGCACCAGCAGAAATAGAACTCGCGCCATTCTCTTCTTTGACGCCGGCCGACAGTCCATCCGCTGCAAGCAAGTTACTCGTCAGAGACGACACTCAAGTGCCTGCAAACTCGTCTGTTGCGGTGTCGCTCTACTGCGCAAGCCTTTCTGACACCGCTGCACTCCTCTCGCCATCTCATCGAGTTTTCATAAGAAAAAGCTTGCTGGTTCCTTTCGCGACCGTGCAACTCACTCACGGCAGCACCACTATTTTCGTTGTGAACTCATCTCCGTACAGCGTTACGTTGGTGCGAGGAGAATGTCTCGGCAGCGTGGAACCCATCGAAGACGCGCAAGTTATGGATCAACCCGATGACATGCACTGCCCAAGTTCCTGTACGCTTGGTGCTGTTTCGACATCTGCTTCATCATCCGATGATATATTCGGTCCTGTATACCCGACGACCTTACGCAGGGCCAGCGTTCCCAGCTTTTGGGCCTGTTGGAAGAATTCCGCTCTTCTTTCGATGTCGCTCAACCTTCTCTCGGCCGCACATCCACCGTTACGCATCGCATCGACACAGGTGCACAGCCACCGCTGCGGCAACGTCCATATCGCGTATCTCCCACAGAACGCCGTGTAATCAACGAGCAAGTCGACGACATGCTTCGCCGCGATGTTATTCGCCCCTCTTGCAGCCCCTGGGCATCTCCTGTCGTTCTCGTCACGAAGAAGGACGGTTCTGTGCGGTTCTGTGTGGACTACCGGCGCCTCAACAAGATCACTCGTAAGGACGTGTATCCACTACCGCGGGTAGATGACGCGATTGACAGCCTGCAAGGAGCAGAATTCTTTTCATCCCTCGATTTGCGCTCAGGGTACTGGCAAGTACCTATGGCTGAGGACGCTC